TGGGGTGCCGGGAACAGGATGTTCATCCTGCGGTACCGGCACCAGGGTGTCCATCCGGTGCTGCTGATGCTTATTCCTAGGATTCCAGGAACAGGATATTCGTTCAGGGACACCACCACACAGGGTGCTTATTCCCGGGGTCCCAGGACTGGGGTGTCCATCCAGGGATGCCAGGACGAAGGGTCTGTATCCCTGGGGTCCCGGGGCTGGGGTGTCCATCCTGGGATACTGGGATGCAGGAGCGTATCCCTGGGGTGCCAGGACCCAGCACACGTATTCCCGGGGTTCCACCACCCCCTTGCCCATTGCTGGGGCATGAGGCCCCCGGCGTTCGCAGCCGGACACGCTTTGCGGTGCCGCGTTTCGGCGTTCGGAACCGGCGGCAGCTCCGCGCGGGTCGCGCCCGGCCGGTCCCCGCTTTTGTGGCCTCTCCCGGTGACAGCGGCCGTCGGCGCGGGGCTGCTCGGGGTGGAGGTTTCTCCCCGTGACAGGCTCTGGGCTGTGAAATCTGCTGCTTGCAGAGATCTGGTGCAAAGATATTCCGTCTCATTAGGGCTGGATGCTGAGCGTTTATTGTGGCTTTACGCGATTTGAGTTTTCCCAGCGTAATCTCCTGCGGGAGATCTGTCAGGAGGGGGAACAAAACGTCTCCTACCCTCCCTTTTGCCTCTTCGAGGATATAGTATTTCAGAGTCGCACGGCTGATGCTTTCAGAGTGTTGCTTATCAGGACTCTCAAATTAATTCTAGCTTTAATTCAGCGTCCTGTTTCTTATTTGTAGAAAGGGCCATCTCAGCATGTCCTTTTGAAGAGACAATTGAAGAAAGTCCAAGGAAGCTGTTAAGAGAGAGCAAATATCTTGACTAGGCCCGAGTTACGTCCATCATCTCCGAGCTGAAGCCCAAGCTAGTAACTCTTGCAGGTCATTTTACTGTAGAAATGGCAGTTGTTGGATTTGGCGTCTGAGAATATTTTTATTAGAGTATACCTTTGGGAAATTAATTCCAGATCTTTTCAGGAAGAGTGAGGTTAGCTATTTTTAGAAAGATTAAGAAATAGCAGGAGCAGCATGGACACTTCTGTGAGGTTTGTTCATGCTCACACAATAGCTAAGTCCTTGCACATACCTATATATAAGCACAGCAAAAAATCCCCCTGGAATCCTGATACTTTAAATGCTTACTGTTGCAAGCATGTTTGGAATAGTTGGGGTTTTTTTTCCTCAGAAATGTAGGATGAGGATGTTGGAATTGCTGTAATGCTGTCAGCACTATGATGGTAAATTCCTTCTCTTGAATGTGGAACAGGACAGGGAATTATTAACTCACATTGCTCTACAGCAATCTTAACATAGTTTATGCCTGGATAGAAATGTGCAAATCCTTCATGTAATCTTTTCCAATAGGTTGCTTGAAGAAAAGTGTCTTTTTCTTATCACAAATGTGATTTGCAAGAGCTTTTGTTAATCAGTTTCTTGTAATTCTTGCTTCCTGCCAACAAAATTTGAAGCATCTTTACAGGAAAAACATTAAATACGAAAGTGTGAAGAAACACATTCATATTGCGGGGATTTATTTGTCTGTTTTCAGTCCACTCAGCAAACTAACTGCTTACATGCTTTTGGTTGCATAGCATATGATTTTCCAGAGCAGCACCTGTGTGGGCTTTTAATGTGTGTTTATCCTCCTATTGATACTGCCTGTAACTAAAAGTACACGTTTTAAGATAAATTACAAATACAAGCTTGTTTGCAATTACAGCATTGACAAGTTCAGTAGTAATTTATTGTGCTCACATTTTGTGATGCTGCTATTTTTTTTTGTCACAACTGAAGTCTCGAGAAAACGTAAGTTTATTTGGAAAACTTTATGGAACAGTACTTTGGCCTCTTCCATAATAAAATATATTCTGTGTTTTCTTAATAGCTCCGTGAGAGCACATTCTTTCAGTAAATGAGGTTGGTTTCCTGAATGATGTCATTTCTGCTACAGCAACTGTGATGATGGAATAAATCTAACTAGACTGACAGGGCGTCATGATTTTTATATGTGGTCTGTAGAAATTGCGTCTGATTTAGTTACTGATTGACAAAATTCTGTGATCTGTTCTATGTAGGCAGTTGGGGAATAGGGTCATAATAGTTCCTCCTTCTTTTCAGTGCATATGGTTTTGATCAGGCCTTTTCTCCCTGAAGAAATTTCACTTGTTAGAGTCCAGAGCTTGTCATTTCAGGTGTGCAGGAAGCAGCTGAAGCATCCTTCATAAATTTTATGAAAAATAAGTTTATGAAGAAGCCTCTGGGGGAAAAAAATGGACTAAATTCAATGGAGGTTACTTCTGTTCTTAAAAAAGCAAGAGAAAATCATGCTTGAGAGTCCAGACTGCAGGATCGTGCTGTCACAGTGGACTGATCCTCACGTGATGCTCCTTGAATTGGTGAAAGTAAGAAGGGCTCCTACTGAATGAGCCATAAAAATGTGAAGAGAAGTAGAGCTACCTCCTTGACTAGAAAGTGAATACATTAAGCAAATACATAAAGCAGGGGGGAAGACATTGTTGAAACATACTGCAAATATTAGAGATGAAGGGAACAAGCTCTCGCTGCCAAAAATCCGGAGAGCAAAGGATGCAGGAATAACAACAGTTGGGTCTGGTGTTGTGTAAAGCAAAGCCTTGAGGGGCTGAAAACTCCGGAAAGGCAAAAGTAGCCACAACAGAAAGCAAGCAAGGGAGAATTAAGTGTTCTCCTGTAATTCTGAGTAGATGAAAGTTCAGGGAAAAAAAAAAGTCTTCATAAAAGAAAGGCTATTTGCATTTTAACTGATGCTTGTACTGTGCGTTTTTATACAATTCCTGAGGTCAGAAATCAGAGAATTGACCTTTTGCGGGGATTAGTAGGTGGAGAGACCTAGAGTTAGAATATCAGTTGTGAAGAGACTTCTAATAGGTGAGCATTGCTTCAAATGTTTTCAATATTCTCAACTCTTTTAAGAAGTCTTATTGAGCTCAACTCCAACCAGCCTGAGAGTCTTGAGGGAAAGAATGTGCATTATTGGAACAAGAATTAAGCAAAAAAATAAATCTGACATAGTGGATGACATGGGAAAGATGATTGTTGAAAGATGCTGGCGTGTACTCTATGCCTTCATGCTTGGCATATATTTTATTTGTTATGTTGCATAGCTTTTGAAGTGTAAAAAAAATCATTTTCTGCTGAGATAAAAGAAAAGACAGGTGCATAAATTCTCATAATAATCTGTTCTGCTTTTTTATTGACATTAAATAGTAACCTTACTTACAATACAGCTTCCATCCTTTTGTGATTTTCCTAATTGAATAAATAATATACTTACCACAAAATAAATATCATTTAATAAGACGGTATTTTTGATTCCCCTTTCACTGTGTATTGCAAACAGATTCACAATTTTTCTATATTAGCACAGCCTGGGTTGCTGTTCTTAATAAGATGAAAAATGCTGGAGAATGTCCACATAGTATTGCTTTTCTGTGCCTGTAAAATGAAGGACCCTTTCCATTCTCTGTAATTTGGATTCTTGCTTTAAGATAAGTTCTATTTTTATTTTTTTCACATTATCCTCTGATAGGTAGACTTTTTGTTTGTTCATTTTAACCTACATTTGTCGCGGAACTCTTACCAGAGATCAAGTTCTAGGAAGGATTTTGTGAGGGGCTGAAGTATTTCCCAGAAATGCAGACTACCCTGAAACGTGTGCAAGCCTTAGCTTGTGTTCTCAACAGCACATCCTGAAACGCCTG